CCTGCTCTGCACCCCCAGCATTTCCACTGCCTGAGCCCACCGGGTGCCAGCACCTTGCTGGAGTGGTTTGCAAACAGCCTCTGTATTTCGCAGCCCTCCAAGAAGCCAGGAGAGGCGGCTGGTGCTGCTGTGCGCGCAGAGCATCCCGAACAAGCTCCGAACTTGCCTGCGAGCTGCGGGCATCCACCCGTGTGTCCCCCTGGCCGCAACTATCAGCAGTTGTTTTTCCATCTCATCCCGGCACACGTCCAATTCTCCCATCCTCCTCCCTCTCTTCCAGAAGCAGCCGAAACACCAGCAGGGAAAGGGAACAGCTTCCCGAGAGCTGACAGCCTTGAAGGCAGAGAATGGTGAGGAGAACGCTTGTGGCTTTCCCCCCGCGCTTTCTTGGCACTGCTGTATCTTTAAAAGCATTAAAATCAACCCCATAAGATAGCAGCTAGTACCAGTAGCCAGAGGACGCTGGGATGATGAGTGTGACTTGGACCTGGCTGTGGCAAGGGGAGGCAGATGGTGACGTCCCATCATCCCGGGCCATCCCCGAGGCAGCAGGCCTGGCTCGGTGCTGGGCTGTGACCTCTTTGAGCCTCCCAGAACCTCCCATTAGCGCTCTATGCCCCTGCACTGGGCAGGGAGAGGGTGGTGTTTGCCCAGGGGGGACAGAACAGAGAGGGCTGGAAGCTGCTGGCAGGTTGGATGATGAGGAAGGCGACGTCGCCAGGTTTGGAGAGGCCGGCCGTGTTTCAGCAGCGTTTGCGTTGCAGCCAACGCCACCCCATTGCCTGAAGAGGGGAAGGAGAAAGCCACGCTGCTAGAAGAGCAGAGAAGAGAAATCCTAGAAATCCTTCAAGGACACGAGGAGGAAAAGGAGAAGCTGAGGCAGGTCCTCCAGGCAGAGACCCAGAGACTCGCCCAAGACATTAAAATCCAGGTAGGACAAAAGAGCAGGGCTGGGGCTCTTGGGAACAGCACGCAAGCAGCACGTCATCCATCCGCTCGGGACTTTCCAGGCAGCTCTCAGGGAGCTGGCACCCTCCAAACCTGGCACAGAAGGCATCCTGCCTCGTGCTGCTCAGCTGGGCAGCTCGGCGGCCGCGCGGAGCCGGGTCGCGGCCAGGAGGTCCTGCCTGGTGCTGCGGCGGGTGCCGTGGGATGCGCTGCCGTGGGATGCGCTGCCACGGACCGTGCCGGCTCCGCTCGCTGCTTATCCAGCCCTGGCATCCCATCGAGCAGCCCCTGCACCGGATCAGCTGCTTAGGGTTTGTGCTGTCCCTGGTTTCCAGGTGGAAAAGGGAAAAGACGCGGAGCTGAAGGAGCAACTCTCGGAGCTGTTCAGGGCGCTGAAGAGGACGCACGAAGGGACCCTGCAAGGTGCGCGCGGTCCCTTCAGGAGGCCGCTCCATCTCCCCAGCCCCGGTGTCGGTGCCTCTGCTCCTCCTCAGCCCCGGGCACCCCGCGGGTGCCCCCACGGGGCTGGGGCTTGGTGCCCATCGCTCCGTGAGCGCTGCGGGATGCAGCACCCTGTGTTGCTCTGTTGTGTCCTGCGGCGCTGGCCGGGCCGGCTCCTTGGTGTCTTTGCACCGGTGACGCTCGGGTCGCGTGTCCCTGCAGAGCTCCGGCGAGCGCACGACCAGGAGAAGCTGCTGCTGGCAGAGTCCCACCAAAGGTCCCAGGAGGCCCTGCAGGTACCAGCAGGGAGGCCCCCGGGGCGATGCTGCTGGAGGGCTTGAGCGGCTGTGTCCTGGCTCCACCGCGGTGCCCATAGTCCTACGTGGCTGCTTTGGTCCCCAGGGTGACACAGGGACCTGACTCCAAGCTGCTCTGGGGGTTATTGGGGCACTGTGTGTCTGTAGTCAAGCAGGGACTTGCTTGAGAGGAAATTCCAAGCTCAAACACCTCCTTTCCTGCTTTTTTCCCCTGCTTTGGCTGTCCTAGGAAACAATAGACGCCTTGAATTCCCAGCTGAAGTCCTTCCAGGAGAAGATGAAGCGGGTGGAGGAATCACTCTTGAGCAGGGACTACAAGAAACACATTGAGGTGCAAGGAAACGCGGGAACGGGCATCTCTCTGGGTTTGGTGTCAGTGACGTCTCTTGTCCTTGGTGGTTTGGGCTGAAGTGAGAGGTGCTGCTCCAAGAGATCCCAACGCCAGGGTGGAGGGGCTGGGGCCAGGGGACTAAACCCCCATGTCTGGGGGCTGTTTGGGCCCACTGCTTATGAGTAGCAGCAAAACGCAGTAGGTTGCAGGTACCAAACGGTGCCAGGAGGAGCCTGACGCTGGCTGCAGTCGCCGGCTGCCATGCGGAGGGAGGCCAAGCAGCCCGGCCCCG